ACAAATATTTTTTTAATTTTAAGTTTTTACAGTTAATTTTTTTATGAAACTGTATGTAGTTTATCCTAAAACAATACATATTAAAAAATTAAATTTCTAAATCTTGTGTAAAACTCAGGAAGTTTAATAAATTCGCATACAAATTTGCAACTTTATGAGCGGATTTGAGTGCAAACTCATTTTGCATTGAATATCAATAAAAAAAGTGGTAGTTTCACGTTGCTGAAGTATCGCGTTGGTTTTTTTTTTGCTTACATTGTTTTTCATGTAAAAAAACAACAATTGTCCCCATTCACAAATTTTTTATTTGTCCATAGATTCTCTTCGTTAGGAGCATCCATTCACTGGAGGCTTAAGACGCAATTGAAGTGAAAATTGATTTTATTTCTTATGCCAGTTTTAACATTAAATTCAATTGAAAATAATAACACAATTTTACAAAAAAGAAATTTTCTACAAATTGAACCAAACCTCTATATCCCTGCGCTGAATGCGCATCTGATCCATATAAATATGAATTTTTATGTTTATTAAACGAATTTTTCCTACATCACCTTCAAATCGCATCAAACCTGACGTGATGGAGGTTAGCATAGTGACATAGAGGTTCAATGTGCACAAACTTTTCTTTTGTAAACCTGGGTAATCTTTTACCTAAATTGCTTTATTTAATTCAAAACTTGCGTAAATTTTGGATCACCCTTTATATTATAAGTACATATGTATCAATGTAAGTACTACAGATACAATTAAAATATTTTTTTACAATTATAATAATGTCGAAATATCAACAAAATTAAAACTGGCCTTTGTCGCCCCTTTGACAAAAATAACGCAATTCGTTCTAGTAAATACGAAATAATCTGATAATTTTTAGTTTATTATTTTTAAACCGAATTCATTCATTCATACGTATGAATATACATATGTACATACATACATAAATGTATGAATATGCTTATGTAATATGTATGTAGATGTGACCACTCACCGCCGAGCCGCCAATAAAATTGGCAACACACGAGCAAAACAAAATTAAACAAACTAATGTATGTAACGAGAATATTTATATATATATATGTATACACACACATACAATAGTAGTAAGTTTAGCATGGCGAAAAGTCGGACAAACAAAATGTGACAAAAACATTCGGTTACGCTGTCTTTTCACACATACGATTGTATCTGCTAGTTTCACATGTTGATGGTAGTGGTATTTCCATCTCCCCGCCAAATTTTTTATTGACAAAATTTCTTATACGTATCCTACATATTTATGTATGTATGTTCGTAAAGGAGCGCGCCGACGGCAAGTGGCTGTGACGGTATATATAGTATGTATGTATGTATATATGTACTAGTACCATCAATAAAATTGCTGCTGCAAGAAAAGCCTGTGCGGCAGCTAGCATGTGTCCGGCAAGATTTTAAGGCGGGAATAATTTCGGGCGCGAAAAACCAAAATGCAAACATTCATACATATTGTAAATAAATATTTATGTATTTATGTACCGGCATACATACATATGTATGCATATGTTCCCCGTAAACATATTCGGAGCGTTCTGAATGTACATATGAGTTCGAAAATAGTCCTAGGTAGGTAAGTAATAAGAGTTTCAAACAACGAAAATTGTGTGACTCTTATATAAGCAAATCTCACGAGTTGCTAAATTTTTTGGCCAAAAACGTGTTATATTAGAAAATGCATTATCATCAGTTTTGTATAAAGAGCAAGATTCCAACGTTAAATTGTATTTAAATGAAAAATAAAATTAACCACTCATGCTCATATACCCGTAGCTGCGTATGTCACGTATACGCCCCGTAGCGCCATACGCACTTAATTTAAAACTCATATTATTTTAATGTAATTAAATATTGGCATGGCAGATTTTTATACAGTACTTCTTATGCACATACTTATATATTATATATACATATATAAGAGTTTTAGAATGAATATCGAGTTTGCCAATAATTTCGAGTTTGCCCAACAAATTGTAAAAATGGAATTTTAGTTTCTTAAATAATAGTCATCTTTTACTCAATGCAATTTTTTTCATTTGGTGACACAAGATTTATTACACAAGGTTCGATCGTTTTGGCAAGAAAACATTTCCATCGTTTAATTTTAACATTTTGAAGTATCTGAAATTATGAAAATTAAAAACATCGTAAAACTTGAAAAATTACCAATCAAACCCATTAAAATATGTTATAAATATTAATGAATAATTTTTTATAATTTTATATAACTTCTTTTCGATAATTTTGTATATAAATATAGTTCATACTACAAAAAAAAAACATAAATATAAAAACTATAAACTGTGTGCAAAACTCAGGAAAATTTAATAAATGTGCATACAAACTTGCACCTTTTTAATAAAGTTCTTTAGGAAAATTATAGGCATGCAAGTTTGAAGTTGTTAAAAAATTGCTATGATTTTTGAAATTTTGCTTTATGGACGGTGCTATTATTTTCTTTAAAAAAATATCGAACTTACTTCATATAAGAGCCTCAAAAATGGTTTGAAATTATTTTAAACATCCCATGCATAATCTTAAAAATCTTAGGCGTATGTCTACACATATGTATTCTGGTTGAAAAATAAACACTTCTTAGTAGCAGTTTTACATGAACTTTTTAAAGTGTATGTGAGGCCAAGAAATAGTCAATTGAGAGCCTTAAAAGAGTCCAAAATGAGCCATATCTGAGACCAAGAAGTCGACCTTCGGAGGAAGGGATGCACTTATTAATTTCGGACTCTGTAAATGTGGTCTTTTTGAACGTACGGGCCCCTTAATGACTCCAAATTCTCCAAATGTTTACTGGGTTATTTAGTATGGGCACCAAAGAATTTCAAAAACTATGGCCTACGTCAAGTGTCATAGGAAGAGGCAATTGTACGAATGTACAAATAAAATCGAAAATGTCTTTATATACATACATATGTATACATAGATACATATGTATATATGTAAGTAGAATTTGAAAATGAAAGGAGGACACCTGAAGTCGGATAAGCAGCACCAAAACTTATGCACACATAAAAACTATTTAAAATTTTTGGCGCCCAAATGAAAATGCGCCGAATATATGTGTGGATATATACACACGTACATATGTATATATGTATTTATGCCTACAAATAAAATCTCGGTGAATGCACCTTGCAAAGGAATGAGATTTTATTGTGTGCAGTGTAAAGGGATAGAAATTTTTAAATGTATATACCTACATATACCTAAATGTGAAATAAATATAGACGCAAATGCGTATGTATGTATCTATGTATGACATATGTATACAGGCTCCTGTGTTATAATGCGCGCCAAAAAAAAAAATATCTGTGTGAATCTACAAATTTTATATAGAAAGACATGTGCACATTAATAGATTAAGATTTAACCAAAGGTAGGTACATAAGTATATATGTACATACATACCTACAAGCATATAGCGTTACAAGACTTGGTTGCCCTATAGGTACATAAACTAGAATGCTTCATGAAAAACGTTTTGCTATTTCGATAGGTTTTTCTTTTCGTAGCAATGCCTTTGCCTGATAGAGCAAGGCAAGTTTAAAATATTGAATGTAATAATGCTAGTAGAAAGTGTAAGTTGCCTGTAGCAATAAATTTGTTCTCATACAATATGGTCCTCTATGTGTGGTGCTTCATTTATGTAAATTACAAAACTTTTAAAAAGACCCGACAACTTATCATCCAAGAACGACTTAAATGAATTTGATTTCTTCGGATGATTGGCTATCGTGTAGCCCATAATTCAATCTGCTAAGCTATAAAGAATGATGATAACTCAATGTCTTCTCAAAATTTAAAATCAATCCATTCACCTCCCAAAATTTTTAGTGAACAATATTTGTAATATTTTTTATGTGACTACATATCAATCGATCTCTTTCAGCGAAATTTTTTTGAAATTGACTTTTTTGACTGGTAAATTAATATAGCTGAAACGCCTATAGGTACGCAAAAAAATATCGTGTTAATTTTATTGTATGTTACAATGATTTTTTTTTTGGCGATATTAATTTAAAAACATTTTTTTAAAGGCAAGCTATTATTAGTGGCTAATAAAAAAATCGACCCCCGCTTCATTTATCTTTCATATTGTTTTGTAATGGGGTTCTGAGCTAAGTTTTAAGTCTCAAGTCTCTAGCTCATCGGGAAGTTGGTTAAAGAATTAATAATTAAAGAAAATTCTAAAAAAATTTTAAAATCAGAATAAACGCATTCTTGTAAAATTTGGTATTTGCCACAAAATATAATTTCACGCAAAGGCGCCGCCGATATCTTTCTAGGGCAATTCTAGAAAAGTTGTGTTATATTAATGCCAAATATCGTTGAATTGAACAAAATATTAAAAAAATAAAGATACCATACGAGTAAGATGTTCATTAAAAGAATTCGTATTATTTTCGACTTTTGGAATTTTCTATGCCTCTTTTCGACTGAGAAAATTTTCCTTTTATTGGAATAAATAAAATAATTGCCGTAATCCTTTTGGAAATGATGCATTTTTAATATCTCCAGCATGCATCTCTAGGGTGGTTCCACATGCGTCTTCTGAAAAAAAACTCCATATTGCCCGCGCAATGCAAATTTGTCGTGGCAACACTGCACTATTGATTACGCAATAGGGGTTGAAATTGAACAAATTTTACCGCCAAGCAGAGTTTGCACACTTTCCGGTGACGCTGCGGGCAAATCCAATCGGAAATTTAACAAGCCAAAAACAAAACAAAAAAATACACAAGCATGTACCTAAATACTTCACACACTACTTCATAAATACGTCCTTGCAAGGAAGTCGCCGCGCACAAAGAAAACGGAAATTAAATGAAGAATCAGGTGCTATGAGAGTTACATATGTACATGTTTGTATTAAATTAATGAAGTGAAAGCACTAGCTTTAATGACAATAGAGATTCAATTTTTTTTTTGTTTTTATTTTTAATTTCACTCACCAGTAATTAATGTCTGTTTGATGTAAGGCCTGTAGCGCGTATCTTCGTTGGCCGCATCGCAGTTGCCGCGACTGTTAGTGTGGAGCGTTCTTAATTTAGCCTTTGTCGACAATGTTGGTGTCATCTCAATCTGCTCCTGGCGTTGACTCAGCGACAACGACGACGACGACGTCAACGACGACGACGACGACGACGTCAACGACGACGACGACGACGCTTCGCCACTACTCTTTTGTTTTAACTTTTGTTTTTGCGTTTCCTTTTCGTGTGCCTCCAACTCCTTGGCGATCAAACCAGGGAAAGATTCATTGCTAGGCTCCGTCTCCTTATTGATATTGATTTCTTTGCTTTGCGCTATCGGTTCAATAATTTTGTAATTATCCAAACGTTTGCGTTGACGTGCATTTTCATTGTCGAAAGTGCGCACCATTTCGCGTTGATCCGGCTGACCGAAGAGATTTCGGCGCACACTGCCAGTGGGACGCACCGGAGCAGTTCTAGCGCTGACGGCACTGCTGCTCGTATGAATTATAACTGGATGCACTTGGCAGGGTGCCATTTCGACTATGGATTTGTATGCGATTTTTTCTCTTTCGATATTACGTTGATAAAACATGCATGTAATGCGCTTATTATTACACGTATATGTATATGTATATGTATTTTCACTGTATGTGATTTTTTGAACAATTTTCTTACTTTCCTCGTTTTTATTTTATTGATTTTTTTCTATTGAAGTATATTAAGCTTTGTCACTTGATGCTAGTATGAATGTATGTATGTACACATGTATGTAGTATGTAATATGGACGTACTTTGGCGTTTTTCACTGGTCGTGGTGGAAAATTCTCACTTTGTACATATTTTTTGTATTTTAATTATACATTATATTTTGCGCTTACACTGTACTCAATGCAATTTTTCTGTCGCGACTTCTTTGTTCTTTAACGTTTACTATGTATGTATGTATGTATGTAGGTACTGCAATTTCCTTTAGTTAGTCACTTGGCGCTTTTGTAATTTCTAATGTAATTTAAGATTTTCTCTTCTATTGCTACGCGCCAATTATACAAAAAATATTAGATACACACACGCACACATATAAATGTACACATTAGTGTGTGTGTGTAAAAATCACTACGAAACGGACAAAACACAACTTCCCTTTTAAACGTTCAAAATACGAATGAAAAAATTTACGTTCTTCCGCACATTAATGGCCGACCAATTCGAGATTGTTCAATTGCCAAAGTATCTCACATCCAACATGTTCCACTCGTTCGTGCGACAGCACGGTTATATGCATCTCACTTGCACTCATCGCGGGCTGTGCTCGCACGTAGCAGGGCTGCTTGTGAGTGTAGTAAAGGCGTGCGGTTTGCACAAACCGCTGGTTTGGAATAAGCGAATAGTACTAACTGCGCTATTGCTATTGCTGTTGTGAAAAGTGGAAACTTTTAGAGCGCTTGCTACAGCGTAACTTTTCATTGCACTCACTCGCTCCAAAAATACCTGACTATCTTCTGCTTAAAATTCTGCTACTAAGTGCGCTATTAACGCCGTCCTATTTCATCATTCACCCTTTTACCGACGAAAGGCAACACTGTTGGATTCGAATTTCTCTCAGCGCTGCATGTTGGATGTTCGCACGCTCGCCGAACATTCAAACATGCTAGTCTGCGACTTGTTTCAGAGAACATGTATAATAATAATCATTATAATAATACACGTTCTATGGCTGTATGCTATGTTCTCTGCCTGCATGCGCTAATTTTCGACGGAAACGTGCTGCGCGCGTTGTAAACAACAATACCGCTTTTGTTTTGCTCGCGTGTTTCGCGTTTTTAGTAGGAGCTTACTTTTTTGTTGTCTTGTAAAAATTTGCAAACTCATAAAAAATGTTTTTGTTTTCCTCTGTTCTTTCGCCAATTGCCAGTTGCCAATTGCCCAGTAGTCAGCGTGTATATTTGTATATATATATATATATATATATATGCATACATATATATTCTTAAGCGTAAATGGCACAGCAACGCGCTTTCGTTTTTTGCCCCCCGAGTAGCATTTTTTTCCTTTTTTGTTCTGTTTATGTGTGCATACGGCGCTGTTATGACTGCTATATTTTGCGCTCTTTATAAATATTCTATTTTCGTAAGTACATACATATTTTTAATGTTTATTTATAAGCGCGCGTACCACTTGACCGGAAGAAGGCGCCTCTGATGCCGGAACTAAGCGGTGAAATATGGCAGGTGAGCATGCGAAAGATATGTTTATAGAGAACGCTACTTGTTGGCGTACTAAGATGTATTTGTGTGAGTATTTACATACATATATGCATGCGTTTGGAGATGCGAATTGCTTTTCTGTGGCAAATTATTAACGATTTCAAGGTCAAAAAGATATTTTGTTTTGATATTAGCAGATTTACGATCAATAAATTGCCACTGGAAATACTACGATAATATTAATAGGCGCATATATATAAAATATCCCTTATCAGTCCAACTCAGGCACCTTTCCGCGTTGGCTTCCTTTGGCCGCGCTTAGAAAAAAAACCCTCATCAGTCCAACTCCGGCTACGCCACAGTATTTTTGCGCAGAAATAATTCAGCTGAAAAGTGAAATAAGGCCACGATCAAAAAATGATATTACGCCGCCGAAGATATAAGAAGGCGGCCTTAATTCACGCAGTCTTAATCCCATCCCCCTAGCAGGCACACAAAGTAATGGGCAGGCTTCAGTACTTTTACATTTAAATTACCAAACTAAGGTATTTAGTAGTTGCTACACATGCTGAAAATATTACCTCGCCGCTTTCTGCATACTTCCATAGCCACCCCGCATGCACCCTTAAAACACCATGTATGCAGCTATCAAAATATGTATGTTTGTATGTGGTTAGCGCCTTTCGCCAGCGCATCCCAATCTGCGTCGTCATTGCACCAGCCGCAAAATATATTTCACCGCTGCTCTGCCGCGTTGTGCTTAACCCTCGCGCCAAAAAGTAGCGTCATAGAGCAAAAAATTCACAAACAAGCACACCTCCATAGATTAGTACTGATGTCTATATACATATATATACATAAATATGTATGTATGTATGACATATATTTACTTACCTTTATGCAGGCAGACGGTCGGTTCCGAAAGGCAAATTGGCTGCTGACACACGGACTGCGCAATTGTTTCCAAAGTGTTATTGTTGCTTCGATTTTGCAGGATATTCGCCTGATCCTTTACACTCCTTTCACTTCACTTTTGCTTCTTCATTTTGTACTAACAATGAAATTTCAGCTTTCAATCGATTTGAATGAATGAATTCAGAGTAAAATGTGTCTATTGTAGCGAGTATAGGTGTTTGTATATACAGTGACTCAAACAAGTGACCACGTGTTGATTTTTTTTTTCATTCACAATGTTTTTCAAAATAGTTTTTTTTTTGTTATTTTTCTATATAAAAATATTGTCCAAGCTTCAACCAAAACCACATAAATAAAAGTTTCAAATTAATACAAAATTTTCATGCAGTGCATTTAGAAAAATGTTGATTTATATATTTATTTATATTTTGGTTAAATCTTGCATAATATTTTTATAGAAAAATTACAAAAGAATCGTGAAAAAAAGTTAACACGTGGTTAGTTGATTGAGTCACTGTACATGCGCACTTATGTATATTGTATGTACTACATTCCTACATACATACATATGTGTATATGCAAAGAAATTACTTACAGCCGCGGCTATGATAAGACGTACGCCACGCAAAATAAGATTTTGAATTTAACTGATGAATCCAATTGATTTCTAGTAGAGTTAAGTAGGTTAGGTTAGGTTGAGCGGCGGTCCCCCCATTTAGACTAGGGGTCTTTTGATTCAGCATCGGGTTTATAGATTATCTTTGCTCAGAAAACAAGTTCGTTCATATGCTGACAATATCTACTCCTTTATGGTCATCAAGATCATCGAAGAAATAGCTGCCGGTCAACGGTAGAGAAGATCTTGGATGGATTGCTCCCCGACCTCGTCCATGCAACTTCTGCAGTAGTAATGCAAGGGTGGGTGCGCCTAGTCTGACTGCGTGTGTTATTTCAGACAATTTCCGGTAAGAACTCCGGAGAACATGTGGATGTCTTACCTCCTTAAGGGCATCTACCTCCGATTTGTGTTAATCGGACCTATGTTAAGTAGAGTCTTAGTGCGTCGGGCATTTATGACCAGCCAGAGTATTCCGGGAATATGAAAAGTTGGGTTTTCATTGGTAATCTCTATGAATATTTCAGGAAATAACGCTCCATGGCGCGCGTTTTCATCAGCCTTGCGGCCTTCGAGATAGCCATTAGCTCCGCCTAAGAAATACGATAGTAGTTAGGAACGCAGAAGATAAAACACTCTGGGTAAAAGATTGGCGCAAGCGCAATTTTGCCTTTTTTAGTGCTAGATGTAGTTATATATAAGGTCTTTCGATCGGTGCTATCAGTTTTTAGATATCTCCTTTAGTTTCTGAGATATTGACAAACAAATTTTCGATAATTTAGTAAAAATTTAGTTAGTGATGCAGTTATATTAAACTAATCAATATCTTAAAAATAACGTAACGCAAAGAATGGAAGTGGGAACAAAATTGTTTTCATAGCGTTTCATTAGTTGGAAATGTTTGAATATCAAAAAAGAACGGAAACATAACTATGCAAATTTATCCTTTCAGTACGATCGTCCAATATATTGGCCAAACTTTTTTTGTACATAAAGTTCTTTTTTTCTTAAATAAGAGCTTTTGTTTTTAAATTAACAGTTATTTTAAGATAGGTATATTATTCTTGTTCACCGCATTTCTTTTATAGTATTTCCGGAATGAAATTGACCGTGTTTTTTACAAAAGTGAAAAGTTTCACAAAAATCGATATTGATAGCATAGTATATATGAACGAATTAACTATTTTTCAGTGGAATTGAGATCTGAAAAATATGTTAAATGTTATTCTTAGTTTCGAAATGTATTTCGCAAAAGAAAAAATAAAAATTATTTATGCTGAATAACGGAAAAACTAAGAGTTTTACAAAATTTTGGATTGTATTTTTGAAATCAATGACACCCAAAATTAGCCGGTAAACAAATTTTCAGATTTTTAATATTAGCGGCTAATCCATTGTACTGAGAGGATTTAGTCAACGAAAGTGTTAAGACACGAACTTTTCCTGCACAGGAAATGAAAACCTATTCCATAAACGATCTGGAAATTTAAGTGATCAAGATTTTCTCCGGCTTAGAATTAACAATCGTTGTTCCCACTGAAACGATCCAAACACGCAGACGCGGCTATCAGTCTTAACGTCAAGTTCTCAACAGTTTTTATTATCCTTTTGTTCTATAGCATAATGGTCCCCAGATTTTTTTTTCTTATTTCATCCTCCTTGAAAACGTTCTCGATACTTTCGTTCTCAATTTGTTCTCATTGAAAACATTCCCCGAAAGTTTCTTTCTCATTCTGTTCTTCTTGAGAACCCGAGAGTTTTGTTCGCATTTTGTTCTTTTCGGAAACGTAGCCAAACCTTTTGTTCTCATTTTGTCCCCAATTCAATATTCAATATATTCAATATATTCAATATATGTAGTGACGCGCGCTTAGGAGGGAATCCTTTGAAATAGAAGTGCTACGTAAAAAAGGACTTAGCGTTAATTGCAACTTTCAATTGGCGTCAGTTACATAGCATGAAAAAGAAACAGCCCAAATTGCTTAGGTTTTCACGGCGGTAATCAAAAAGAGGAAATAAATGTTTTATTTATTATATATGTATTTTAATTACTCAATATGACATAATTTTTCGTCCGCCACTGTATTTATGAATCTACGAATGCCAGACCAAAATAAGTTAATCATAACTTTTTGCTGATTTCTACTCAGCGGATGCTCGCATAGATAGTAAAATTGGTGCATTCTAGTTAATAGATATGTATGTACATACCTAGTACGTGCCGCCGGTGCACAGTTGGGGCTTTCAGCGCCTTCCGGTCGCCCTACGTGGTACGTGTTTGCTGATAGCAATATGATCATTCATGGTTTTACACCACATAGACACCCAGTCAGTGGTCTGAGAATGCATTCAGCTGACGCCGAGCAGTGCCTTTGAGACGACGAGCAGCGGGAAAAAAAAACAAATATGTATATGTAGTTTGTACGTTAATAA